CGCCTATCTGGTCGGTTAACATAAATACATAAATACTTAATGTTATGAAGTATTTCTCTTACCACTAGATGGTGCCATTATACTCCTCAAACACTTGGGGGGACTGAGGGTCAATTTCACTAACAGATTTTGAGAAGCAGTAGAATCCTCTTACCCTCCCCCCCCTTTTTTTAAAATTGGCCATACAGAGGATGTAAGTGGATTTGTTTTCAGATAAAAAACACACTTCTATAAAGTTTAATTTTTTTTCAGTTAATAAAAACCAGTTGTAGCAACCACTTGGCTTTCGGCCAAGCTGAGATCAGCTTCTCCCTGGTTCCTCCCCAAAGAGGAAAAAGCAAGAAGGACTGAAAAGGCAGTCTAATGAGGACCGAACATGCTCCGTCAGCCCTGAAAATTAACAGATTTCAAGATGTGGAAATGGAAGAACGGGTTGTCCTAGAAAGAGGACATTATTGATGGACTGCAAGCCTGAACATAAACAATTCACAGTACAACAGTCCATCATAGGTTCCAGTTTCTAACTTACGTTAAGGTTTTTCTCATTGATGTTTTGATAAAAAAAACGCCTATAGATCTGGAAGTTGAGTCATGGCAACTGGACTTCTTTCTTGTTAGGTTAAAAGGTTTCACTACTCATCAGACTGAAGAAGCTACTTGGATGAGCAGTGAAATGTTTCAAACGTTTCCTTTCACTACTCATCAGACTGAAGAAGCTACAGTACTTGAATGAGCAGTGAAATGTTTCAAATGTTTCAACCTAATAAGAAAGGAATCCTGTTTCTATGAGCCAGCTTCCAGATAACCACACCTGGATGATTGAGAATCTTCACAGATAAAAGGCCTATATAGTGCTTCAGACCCTATTTCTTTGCACAACAACCCTGTAAAACAGATTACTGTATTTTCACTGTATGTTTTACAACGCAAAAGCTACCTGAAGATATGACCATAAAAGCTACCCAGTAAGCAAGCAGCAGGGTTTATTGAAGACTTCGCAGAACCAGTTATATCTTTTAAACTCAAGAGATCATCTTCACATTGTCATACATTACAACATTCCAGTGGGAGAGGCTATATGAAGAGTAAACAGTGCATTGTGAACATTTGCCTTGTGAGAATGTAAAGCACATTCCAGTGGCTGCTCAGGTGTGATGGGCCTGAAGAAAAGCTTGGACAGCCTATCCCTGACAACCTTCTGTCCCTAAGGCCTATTATTTAAACCTGCTTTTCACTGACAAGCTAATTTGTAAATAGTGTTTTTCTTGGTTTGAACTTATTGTTTGAGCCACACAAGTAATGTGTGACCTGATCATTTCCAGTACTGTTTATTTTACACTTTATTGCTGTTTTTACAGTAGTTTATTATGTTTCATTTAAGTTTGCTGCCTTTAGCACTATTTCACAGAACAGCAGCTCCTACAGTGAACGAATAAATAAATGTATATTTTATAGTGTTGCTTGCGCTCAAACCTATGCAGCAAATGATGCATTTGTAAAGCCAACCAGCTGCAACTGTTGGGACAAATGGGTGCTGTAACTCACAGAGAGACCAGTCCGTGTC